TGGCCCTAAAGCACCGGGAGCAGCAGCGGGACGGGAGGCGGCTCCGGCGTCGCGGGGCCCTCGGTTGCTCCGGACCCTCCGTCCGGCTCAGGGCCGGGCACGGGGGTAGTTGAGCGAGAGCAGGACGAGGCTGTTGGCCAGCAGGGAAATCTCGGAGGCTGCCGGGAGGAGCCGGGTGAGGCCGCGCGGAGGGAGGCCCGGAGCAGAGGCCCGGGGGCCTCCGCAGCTTCAGGGCCCCCAATGGCCCATGGAGCCGGTCGGGCTCCGCTCGGGGGGACTCCATTTCCCTCCTGTTCCGCTTCCCCCGGGGCTGCTGCAGGGGTGAGGCTGCCCCATGGCCCGGGAATGTGGGGTCCACGTGGGAAAACCGCTCCCAAAACACATCCCATATAAATCTGCTCCCAAAACCCATCCCGCAAACCCGCTCCCAAAACCAAAACCGCTCCCAAAACCCATCCCGCAAACCTGCTCCTAAAATCCATCCTGCACAAACCCGCTCCCAAAACACATCCCATATAAATCCGCTCCCAAAAACCCATCCCGCAAACCCGCCCCCAAAACACATCCCATATAAATCCGCTCCCAAAAACCCATCCCACAAACCCGCCCCCAAAACACATCCCACACAAACCCGCTCCCAAAACCCATCCCGCACCAACCCACTCCCAAAAATCCATCCTGCAAACCCACTCTCAAAACCCATCCCACACAAACCTGCTCCCAAAACCCATCCCGTATAAATCTGCTCCCAAAAATCCATCCCACGTCAACGCAGTCCCAAAACCCATCCTCAGAATCCTGCTCCCAAAACCCATCCCGCACCAACCCGCTCCCAAAACCCATCCCGCACAAACCTGCTCCCAAAACACATCCCGTATAAATCCGCTCCCAAAACCCATCCCACACAAACCCGCTCCCAAAACCCACCCCCAGAATCCCGCTCCCAAAACCCATCCCCAGAATCCCATTCCGAGGCCTCCCCGGAGCCGCGCTCACCCTCCAGCCTGCAGGAGAGCCCCAGCCACTGCTCCAGCCACACTCGGCACTCGCCCGCGCTCAGGTGAGTGGAGTCCAGGCCGCGGAGGTAACAGGCCTGGGAATGAGAGCGGGAATGAGAGCGGGAATGAGCAGAGCTCCCTGGCTCCTTCCCGGTGCGGGAGCAGGGATTGGGCTGCTCTGCGCCGCTTGGAGCGGTTTGGGCAGGGAAACGGGAATTCCGGCCGAGCCCCCGGCCCTCTCCCTTCCCGGCTCCGTCTCCCCGCTCGTCCTCACCGCCCGCAGCTCCTCCTCGGAGAGCTCCCTCGTTCCCAGGCGCGCCAGCGCCCGGTCCAGCTGCCGGATCTCCAGCACGTGGCTCCGCAGGCGCCTCCTCAGGAGCGGCGCCGGCAGGCGCGGAGTCAGGAACAGCACCCGGCTCAGGGCTCGCTGCGGCGCGGGAGGGAGGGAGGATGGTCCCGCCGCGCTCCGGCGCGGACCCCCGGTGTCACCGATGTCACCCACCGGTGTCACCGGTGTCCCTCACCGCTTGCGGCGCCCGGAGGCCGCTCAG